AAACCTCTCCTACTATAACAGCAATTTGATTATTCACATAAGTCATAATATTTTCATATTGATTTCAATTTTCTAATTTAATAAATTTTAAAATCTTATTTTTAATATACGAATATTTCAATATATTATTTTAATTAAAATAAATAATTTATAAATGAAATTGATTGAAAATTATTTTTTTTTTAAATATTTTTACACCACATATTACTTACTTATAATTGAACATTATGAAAATACTCGTAAAATATTAAAAAATTTATGTGGTTTAAGTATTAAGTAAAAGAACTTATACTTGAGTAAATCATCAATAATATGTATATAATATAGTGCTTAGAATACTTTAATTTTAATATTGATGAAGTGAATTTGATGAATATAACAGAGATGCAAGGAATCGTGACGAAAATATTCACTTGTATAGCAAATACTGAATATTCCATTTACATAAATAATGTTTAGAATTTTAATTAATTAAATAATGCATAAAGAGATATTGAAAAGGCAGAAAAATGTTTTTAATAAATTAAAAATCATTTTCTATATGGTTTTAATTTTATAAGGATGCTAAAAGCTTAAGTAAAATGGTATTTTTTTAATATTAACATTTCATATTGCATACTGACTAGGATTTAGTACTTTATGAGTAAGAATTGCTCATTTTCGCACCTATTGTATAGTACGTGATATAAATTGCAATATACAAAATTTGTTTTTTATTATAAGAATAGGCACGGACCTGAAAATTAATAGAATTGGTTAAAATAAAAATAATTTAACCCCTGAATATATGCAATTTTTTCAAAATTTTAATAAATCAAGCCGATTAATTTTCTTACCTATTAGAATCTTAAGAAATGAGTAAATTACAAATATACAGCTGATATAATACTTAAATTTTCATATAAAATTATACAGTATCTTGTCATTGATTATTATATGCAGCCCCTAATTATATGCAATTTTAAAATTTTCAAAATATCTATTAATTACTTTTTATTTAATTAAGATTGAATAATTAATAATCTGTCAATTAAAATATACAGGCATAATACAAAAATTTACAAATCAATTATCAAAAATCATTAATTATTTTATATTTTTGTAACAACAAGTTTCTGTCACTTTCAATTGAATGACATTAAAAGTTATTGTCAAAACTTTTACAAATTAATAATGTTACAAGTTTATAGTGTTGTTAACAACATCTTTTATTAATATTTAAATATCTCTGTTATTTCGTATATTAAATTGCAATTTCATTTTATTTATTTATAATGATATACAAATACATTTTGTAATTCTACATAATATGTACATATTTAAAATTGGATAAAACCATTATATCCAGTACAGGAACATGTTCCAGGATAGTATGCCATCTAAGTATATTTTCTTTATTATTTTGTATTCATATTATTACATAAAAATTGTCTAAAATGCACATGGGATTCTTAAAAGTATGAAACTGAAATTATATCGTTACAAAAACAATAAAAATATAAGACATAACGAGTACAGAGGATAACAAAAGGAGCATCAAACAAGACTAATAAAAAAAAAAATAAAAAAATAAAATAGTTAGCAGCATATCGTCGTCGTAGACATGAAACTAATTCAAAAGCCATCATTGGGCAACATACATCCAAAGTTAAGTTTTCTCTCTCATTCTTTTTTTCCTTGATTTTTTTGTTCTTCTTAAAGTCTTGTGACAGAATGAATTTAAAGAAAAAAAAACAATAAAAGAAATTTATAAAAAAAAAATGCAGCAAAAAATTTTTTTTTCTATACGTATATATTCTTTGTCTCTTTTACTCTACTTATATTTTCAATTATTATTGTTATTATTGTTTATTTTATTTCTTGTTATTTTTTGTATATGTCTGTTTTTATATACTTGTATAAATGTGTACATATGTATAATAATAAAATAAAAAGAAAAAATAATAAATTTTCCCAAGAAATTATTCTTTAAAGGACATCCTGTTTGCATAATTCATTTGAACATCTGATGAAAAGAGAAATTAAAACAACTAAAATAAATAAGCAGAAGAATAATAAAAAAAAACAAAATTGAGGAATAATAAATTCGGATTAAATCAGCGGTTTATATGATAGCACAATTCAAACATAGGGAAGTAAAAAAATTTCGCTATTATTATCATGAACGTTTGTGCATTCGACGGAATTCTACACCTAAGATCCGAACACGAGCCAAGGAAATGGGTCATAATTTTCTTCTCTTCTCCAATAACCGCAGTGTCTATAGAAATTGTTTGCGGATTGGCTCTTCCTCTTCTCATTTTTATCAGCTTGGAAGTCCTATAATAGCTACAATGTTCTTCTGTCCGAGAGATTCCAAATCCCAGCCGCATGTTATTGCATTTGCCCATTTTAAATTTGTTTGACCTCTTACTCTCCAAAAACAGTTTTGTGAGTAATGAATGTCATACTCAACCTCTACTTTTTAAGTATTTTTGCGGGAATTGTTCTATGTCTCGGAAGCTCATAACTATCAGTGAAGGTAACTTTTTAAAAGTTTGAAAAAATTTTGTAAGCAAAAAGAACTCAAACGAAAGGACGGGTTGATTGAAACTAATAACCACATTTTTCTCTATTTTCATATGAATCTACTATAAAAGGGAAACGAATCCTTTGCATTCAGCAATTTTTCTCTTAATATACAACACACATACTTGCACATAATTATGGCTGTATTAGTATATAATTTAGAAAACAGAAAAAAAAATTCAATTTGATTTATGTATGAGTATATGAGTGTATATAAGAAAAATGTATTGCACTAACTATGTACAGCAAAACTACATAGAATAGAGCTGACAATTTACAGAGAGAACCAAAGTATATTTTAATATAAATTGAAAATAATTTCAAAATTGATTTCATTTTCTTATTTTATATTCTAATTTTTTTTTTATTTATTTTCTATGCAGTTTTATAATTCTGAAATATGTATGTATGTGTCTGTACACTTTGTTATATGTTTATTGGAATTCAATAAGATTTAATTATAAATTAAAATGATTTGACAGGATATAATAATAATAAAATTATTATGCGCATTTCACTCTCACATTTTATGAAATATAAAATGAATAAAAATTCCATAAAATTATTTCTAAATTCTTCTTCTTCTTTGCTTTACAGCCCGGGGTGGGCCAATGCATCCTCCGAAATACGATGCCAATCGGACCTGTTGTGAGCAACTCTGTTGTAATGAGCTACACCCATCCTAACCAGATCCTCTTCCACGGAGTCAAGCCATCTTTTTCTAGGACGTCCACGTTTTCTCTTTCCAACTGGATAACCTTTGAATATTTTTTTTTACTACTGCGTCGTCTGACATCCTTATTACATGACCTAACCATTTGATTCTTTGAGCCTTCACGAATTTTATTATGTTGCAGTTTTGACTCAACGACTCAAGTTCATGATTATATCTTATGCGATATCTCCCATTTTCTTGTACTGGTCCATATATTTTCCTTAAAACTTTTCTTTCGAAGATTGCAAGTTGATTCACTTCTGACGCTTTCAGTGTCCAGACCTCACAACCGAAACTAAGAACGGGTCTTACTAAAGTTTTGTATAGTTTTAGCTTTACATTTCTTGATAAGAGACTGGACTTAAGCAGTTTGATATTTGAGTAGAATGCACGGTTTGCTGCGTGTATTCGTTCTTGTATTGCAACTTCTGTGTCCTTATATTTATCAAATTTTACTCCCAAATAGGTAAAACTGTCAACACATTCGAAACTATGATTTCCAATGATAAGTCTTTGACTTCTGCTTGCTGAGGTAGAGCTTGATTTTAATAAATATTTTGTTTTCTCTTCATTAATTGCTAGACCTATTTTTTCTGCCAATTTTTCCATTTTGATCAATGTTTGCTCCAATTCAAAGACATTTCTCGCCAGTATTACCACGTCGTCAGCATATGCACATATTTGTACCGATTTGTTTAGTATGGTACCTCCAGGGTTCACTTCCTTGATGACATAGTTTAAAACCAAGTTGAACACAGTTGTGGAAAGTGCATCACCTTGTTTCACACCAGATATAATTTCAAAGGTGTCGGTGACCTTACCCTGTACTGTTACCTTAGCATTCGTGCCTCTTAGCGTCATGAGGACTAGGTTAACCAATTTCTTTGGCAAACCCTGCATTAAAAGAATGTTTTCAATTTTACTTCTATTAACACTGTTTCTAAATTAGTTTGTTTTTTTAATGGCTGAAACCTTTCAAAATGATAATTGATTTTGTAGTACTCGTAGGTGAAATACTTGATAGAGTTTCACATTTGAGCTTTACACTTTCATCTTGCATAGTTCTATGTAGCGAATAATTACACAAGTGTGACAATATAATAGCACGTCTATTGTATTATACTATAATATATAATGCCGATAACTGGTAGAGATAGTTGGCTATATCTAACAGGCAACTAGGTTGGCAGCCCCCCACAGTATATTTTTCCTCCCAAGATCCATCCAAACACCTAAAAAGAATTTGATAAATCACCCACCTTCGTCAAAACAAAACAAACGCCTTCGTTTGTTTTTCAAACCCGTCGAGCAATTTATCCCAAATAGGATTTTGTACTCTGTTTTAGACCAGGATAGGAGATATTCGGTATCTCCAGGTTCGTAGTCATTTAGCTTCGGTAACGTAATAAATGCATTTAAATTAGTGTTTTAAAAGAATAGTCCTGCCTTAGTCACGATGTCTTAGAACTTTTAGTTAAAGTAGAGTTTGCTCCGGACGGCCGGGAGCCTTTCCTATAATATTTCGTTCTAGAATTAAGTATAGTCGAATTTCTGACATTAGAACTACATTCCTCGCTCTAAAATTTAAACTTCAGAAAGCCCGCCGCCCCATAAACTTTCAAAGCACGACTTATTGTCCCATTTGTCAGTTTTTGCACGCCGTGAAACGTGCTGGAATATTCTGGACCGGAATATATTCGACTATCATCGCCTTCCTTCTGATTTCCCACCCCATTTGAGTACTAAAATTTTACTCTGCAAATTATCAAATTTCAGCTTTACACCAAATACAAATATATCAAATGAAATTACCTCTATGCGTAATGGTATATCGATCTGTAATGAAAATATGAAAAAGAGAGATTAGTTATATAGAATTACACAATATATAAAGTTATTGAATTTAAGTTCAATAATTAAAAGTACTTAAATTGAAATCAAAATTGCTCTGCTTATTGTCAACAAATTTTTAGAAGATGAAAATTTTAAATACTTAACACATACGCCCTAGGTAACAGACGGTGAACAAATACCTTTGATAAAATATTTCATTCAATAAATCTTAAATATTAAATTATTTCTCTTTAAATATTTCTAGGAAACTCTACAAAGAATGTAGTGTAATGATTAATAATATTACTGAGTATTCACATAATTTACCAATTTCTTTATTATATATTTAATTAAAATAATTAATAGAGAAGGAAAAATAATTTTAAAAATAAATATTTATTTTATTATTGAGCCTACTTCATTAAAATTTTCATTATATAGCAAAAATCCGGAAAATTATTTTTTCCAATTAAAAAAAAATGTCTTTAAAAATTACAGTCTTCCATTACAATTTAAAAGAAATTCTTAAATAAAAAAAATAGTTTAATAAAATTTTATTTTTACAATTTTCCATCATGGAATACAATTTTCAATGCCTTAAATTCGATTTTCACTGTAGGATATTTAATATGGTTTTTTTTAAAATGTTTTATACATGGGAAGGCTTCAGCTTTAATTCTTCAGTGACTTACAGTTGCATGAGAATGAACGGCTGTTCTTTTAACGACCTTACACGTATTGACGGAAAACCTCGTCGAATTATTAATAACATAAAAGTATTAGGCGCACCTCTTACTTGTTTGGTGCTCTACACGGTTTCCAAAAAGTGCACCCCTCTCCGCTCACATTCCCCTTACCCCCCTCCCCCCTCCAGATTTTAAGAAATAAAAATATGAGTTTTTATTTCTTAAAATTTAGTTATTTTTCTCAATTTCCAATGGCAGCCTGTTTTCCGGCGCCCATTACAAATGCTTAGTTTGCGTATAGGGTAGATCCGGCACAGGTTCTTCTCTCAAATATGAATTTAATTCACTAGATTTGAATATTTTCTAATAATAATCATATGATATGACGGAACTGATTGCATAATACCAAATTAACAGAAATTAAATTCATAAAAATTAAAAAAATAATGAATAAAATCAAAAATGATCATTTTAAATTTTTCATGTTTGTTACCAAAACATTTAATTTTAATATTTTTTTTATTATATTAAAAGAAAAATCATTTCACGCTCCAATAAATGCGTGTGTCAAATTGCGTACGCCATTCCCAAACTTTTATCTCAAAATTTTGTTCAAAAAAATTCTTAATAAATATATGAGCCCGTAGTTAAATTCTACAACATTATGGCATGTTCAAATTTACATATTAAATGTAAAATATCATCCCTGTAAAAATAATATTGTATATACACTTATGTAGAATATTTTAAAGTACAAGCAGGACCTACGTGTACCTACAATATGAGAATGTTTTTCTTATAGAGAATTTTTCGGTATTAAATTTTTATTTTGCCATGTAAATTAAAGTAATGGCCATAGAAAATAATTTCACATATTGAAAATAAACTTAAAAAAAAAAAATAAATTATTTTTTTTTTTAAGAAAAATTTTAGGTATTTTAATTTTCTACTTTGAAGCATTTTCAATTTTCTAAATTGAATTTTATAAGTATAATATTTGTGTAAAAGAAGAAGAAAGAAAATTAACAAAAAACAAGAGAGAGCAACAAGGATAACAACAAACTATATATATAGGAGAAAACTGTACACCTTATAACGGGATTTTAACCTTATAACAATAATTTTGTTCCACCTTAAGCCATACAAAACAAAAAAAAAAATTGATTGTATCCTCCTTCTTTTACCTTAATTTTCTCAATTTAAAATTATTATCCTTCTTTCTAAAATGAACAGAAATCATGTAGAGTGAAAAAAGAAAAAATAAAAGGACGAAAAATTTGTTTAAAACTAAAATGATAACCATGTACATGTACAAAAAAAAAATGTTATAAAAGTCAATATTAGAATGGATTTTATAGAAATAATCAGGAATGAACGAGGCAGGCTTAACGAATATTATCATTTCATTTTTATTCTTATCCATTATACATAAAGAAATATGAAAGTTAATTTTGAAAGGATGAAATATGGTATAGACACCATGGTATAGAACCTATTATGGAAAATGACTATGGAACAATATTTTAAGAAATATGTAAGAGTTTGTAATGTGTGTACCTATGTATATCATGGGTCTACAAGGATTTAATTATAGAAATTCATTTGATTTGATTTTACATAATATTTTTAAACATGATAAATTTGTGTAATTTTCATTTTTAATTTAAATATTACAATATTTAATAGTTATTTTCGGTATTAAAAGGAATTTAAAATTTTAAATTTATTAACAGTAAGCTCCGCTGTTAGACAATGACGTTATAACAGAAAGACTTAAATGGAGAAAACGTTTCGATTTAACACAAAATACCAATTTCCTTATGGAAGGTATTTAATTCTTGTACGGAAAAACCAAGTTACCGCAGAGGTTTCAGAGTTTAGATGTAGTAGGAGTCACGCTCCCTTACTGTTGAAGGAAAAAGGCAGATAGCGCCGTTCTTCTTTCTTCTTCTTTCGAGATTTTTTCACCTAGTAGAAAAGAAAAATAGTAAAATTCTGGATTCTTTGAATATCTTACTAGTTATGAATTATTTTAAGGGAACAGAATTATTTAGAAAACATGTGATTCTATTGAATATTGGGGATGAACGAAATGACCGACGATTTCTAAAAGGATTTGATTTTGAAATCGTATTAAAAAACTATTCAATTATAAATTTATTGTTTCTTGAGTTAGTCAAGTATAGAAGACCAATGTGTTTCATAAATTTGTTTCCTAAATTAGTAGAGTATAGAAGCCTAATTTACTATGTATTTCGTAAGTTTAATCGCACATTATTGTAGGTAATACTAATTTATTTGTTTATTGAATAAAAAATGGTGGGTCTAATTGTACAGAAAGTAGTGCAAAAGTAGTACTTCTTCAAGCACGAATATCAAAAAAATGTATACAAGAAATTTTAATATAATTATTGAATAGGAATTTAAAAGAAATACTTAAAATTAACTCAAAACGAGAATTTTTGAAAATTTTCATATTGTCATTCAGAACAAGTCCAATATACAAGCAATTATACACAAAAATATTGTAATAGGTTCAGTACCACTTGTAATCCAATATGCCCATTTTGTATTGTGTTTCCTTGTTTATAATAGTATTGTATAATGCGATCCTTTTGTAACCAATCCACATACATACAATCTAAATATTATCATTTCTATATTGGGGAAAATTTTGTTTTTTAAACAAAAAACAAGAAAAAAAATAGAATAAAGAAAATTTATGTCCAAATCATGTCCTTTTCATTTCTTTTCTCAGTACTTTTCTAAATATTTGTATATTTTTTTTTTTTTTTGGAAATTTATACAAAGAGATTGGAGTTCTTATGATTATTTGAACAGAGTTGGAGTATCAAATTAATTTAAGAATAGAATAAGAGTTAATAAAGAGTTAAAATTTTCAGTTAATTAAAAAAACAAAATTTTAGGGAGTTCTATTATAGATAATTGAAAGCCTGTAATTGTTATCAGTAGAAAAATTTTAATGAATCAAATAACTGCATTATTTCCTTAATTAATTTTCTGAGAATAAAGACTACATGTGTTCGATTTTCCACCTTTTATTGAAATCTTCAAATAAAACCTACCATCTTGCCTCTAAGCAAGAGATGGCTACTGATTAAACTAATATTTTGTAATTATTATTCTATTATACCATTCTGCAACAATTCGGACTAAGAATTCAGCGCGGATATAAAAAATAAAGAAAATTTTGTATGAGGACGCTATACCCAATACCATGTCATCTAGCCTTGTATGTTAAATAATATCAAATAACGACATGAAATTTCATCTTTAAGCTTACTGGACCGCATATTTAGTAATTTGTTAATTTTGTTTTTTAATTATAAAATATTTGAATCGCCGTACAATTAAAATAAAATTTAAATTTTAAATAAAATTTCAGGAAAAAAATTTAAGGAAAAATTGTAAGACCTTTCCAATTTCAAGTATTTTTTTAAAAACGTATTGGGGCTAACCTGTATACGAACTGTTTAAGTCAACTACTGAAAAAACAAATATTTTTTATACACTTTGAACTACACACACATACGTTATACACACATGTATGAGAAAAGAAGAAAACAACAGCAAAAAAAATAAGAAAAAAATTTTTTTTTTTTAAACCAATTTACAAAATTGGTTGACACTTCAATGATTTTTCTTATAAAAATTCTATTTATCTTTAGGGATTGAAAAAAAGAAACAAAAAAAAATTATTTTTTATCCATTTCTTCTCTCTTCTTCCCATTCAGTCTCTAATATCCATGTAGAATGGCACCCCTTTCCGTAGTTTATTTTTGCATCCTTTATATATGCTGTTTTTTTTTCTTATTTCTAAAAATTTTTTCTTTTGTTTCCTTCTATACAGTCTGCCTCTATATGCCTATATGATTTTCTCTTTAGTATCCTTGAAAGCAAAAAGAATAATAAGAAAAAATCACAACGCATTCATTCCATACATCCTTAATAATAATAATAATAAAAATAATAATAACAATAATGAAAAAAAAAAATTTATTTTATTTTTTTTATTATTTTTTTTTTAAACGAATGAGAAGAAAAAACATATCTTCATTATATCATTGGGCCAAAAATTTTATACATAAATACATTGAAAGGATAAACCTGAAAAAAAAAATCCATGTAAACAAAAAAAAATAAAAAAAATTTTTTTTTATTTGTGACCCAATAAGGATCAAATAAATCAAACTCTAAATTCAGGACGATAAATTTTATGTTTGTTACCGAAAAGAAAATATTGAAGAAAAACGAAAGGCAAAAAAAAAATTAAATAAAAAGATCCTTTATTTTTTT